AAAAAATAAAAGGGATCCAAATTGGAAAGGAGGAAGTGAAACTGTCATTATTTGCAGATGACATGATATTGTACATAGAAAACCCTAAAGACTCCATCAAAAATCTATTAGACTTGATAAATGAATTTGGCAAAGTAGCAGGATACAAAATTAACGTCAAGAAATCGACGGCATTCTTGTACATCAATGATGAACTCACAGAAAGAGAAACTGAAAAAACAATCCCATTTACCATCGCTCCAAAAAAATTACGATACCTAGGAATAAACTTAACCAAAGAAGTAAAGGACCTATTTGCAGAAAACTACAGGTCATTGAAAAAAGAAATAGAGGAAGATATAAAGAAGTGGAAGCACATACCCTGTTCATGGATTGGAAGAATTAACATAATTAAAATGTCCATACTACCCAAAGCAATCTATAGATTCAATGCAATCCCCATCAAAATACCAACGACATATTTCATAGAACTAGAACAAATACTTCAAAAGTTCATATGGAACCAAAAAAGACCCCGAATAGCCACAGCAATCTTGAAAAAGAAGAACAAACTTGGAGGGATCACAATACCAGATATCAGGATATACTACAAAGCGACTGTAACCAAAACAGCCTGGTACTGGCACAAGAACAGGCATATAGACCAGTGGAACAGAACTGAAAACCCAGAAATGGACCCAAGGCAATACGCTCAATTAATATTTGACAAAGGTGGCAAGAGCATACAGTGGAGTAAAGACAGCCTCTTTAACAAATGGTGTTGGAAAAATTGGACAGCTACATGCAAAAAAATGAAACTAGACCATCAACTTACACTATACACAAAAATAAACTCAAAATGGATAAAAGACTTAAATGTGACCCGTGAATCCATAAAAATTCTAGAAGAAAATGTAGGCAACAAAATTTCGGACATCATACGGAGCAGAATTTTCACTGATACATCACCTAAGGCAACAGAAATAAAGGAGAAAATGAACACATGGGACTACATCAAACTAAAAAGCTTCTGCACAGCAAAAGAAACAATCATCAAAATGGAAAGGCAACCCACTGTATGGGAGAACATCATTGCCAATGATGTATCAGATAAGGGGTTAATTTCCAATATATACAGAGTGCTCATACAACTCCAGAAAAGGAAGACAAAGAACCCAATTAAAAAATGGGCAGAGGAGCTGAATAGACACCTCTCCAAACAGGACATACAAATGGCCAAGAGACATATGAAGAAATGCTCAACATCACTGATCATCAGAGAGATGCAAATTAAAACAACAATGAGGTATCACCTCACACCTGTCAGAATGGCCGCCATCAACAAATCATCAAACAACAAGTGTTGGCGAGGGTGTGGAGAAAAGGGGACTCTAATACACTGCTGGTGGGAATGCAGACTGGTGCAGCCGCTATGGAAAACAATATGGTGCTACCTCAAAAAATTAAAAATTGAACTTCCATTTGACCCAGTGATCCTACTGCTGGGAATATACCCTAGGAAGCCTGAAACACCAATCAGGAAGAATATATGTACCCCCATGTTCATAGCAGCACTATTTACAATAGCTAACATCTGGAAACAGCCCAAGTGTCCACCAGTAGACGAATGGATCAAAAAGCTGTGGTACATATACACAATGGAGTACTATGCAGCGGTAAGAAAGAAAGATCTCTTATCCTTTGAGACGACATGGAGGGACCTGGAAAGTATTATCCTAAGTGAAAGAAGCCAAGCAGAAAAAGACAAATACCACATGATCTCACTTATATACGGAATATAATGAACATAACAGTCTGAGGAATACCGTAGACCCAGACATATGGAAGTAGGGCACAGACTGACATCCCTCAGAAGAGGGGATGGGGGGTAGGGGAGTGGGAAGAGATAAACCACAGAACTTATATGCATCTATGCATGACCAATGGACATGGACAACTAAGCCGGGGACAGGGTGAAGGGGGGAGTGGGGGGGGTGCCAATGGGGTAAAAAGGTAAAATATCTGTAACAAAAAAATAAATAAATAAATAAAAATTCCAAAAACAAAAAAAACAAAAACCAAAAAAAAACAAAGCTGTGGTACATATACACAATGGAGTACTACGCAGCTGTAAGTAAGAACGATCTCGTATCCTTTGAGACGACATGGAGGGACCTGGAAAGTATTATCCTCAGTGAAACAAGCCAAACAGAGAAAGACAATTATCATATGATCTCACTTATTTGTGGAATATAATGAACATAACAGTCTGAGGAATGGGGTAGTCTCAGAGACGTGGAAGTGGAGTACAGACTGACAATCCCCAGAGTGGGGGTGTTGGGGGAGAGATAAACCACAGAACTTATATGCATGTATGCATGAACAATGGACATGGACAACAAAGCTGGGGATAGGGCAGGGAGGGAGGGGGAGCGGGGAATCAGTGTGGGGGAAAGGAGAAACATCTGTAACAAAAATAAATAAATTAATTAAAAAAAAAGATGAATGAAAATAAAAACACAAAAATGCCAAACTTAGTGGGTGGCACTAAAGCAGTGCTTAGAAAGAAATTTATAGCTACAAAAACTTAAAGAAAAATGTTAAATCAATAATCTAATTTTCTACCCTAAAAAATTAGAAAAAGGACATAGCAAATCCCAAACAAAGATAAGGATAGAAATAATAAAGATCACATAAGAATTAAAAAAAATGGAGATTAGAAATACAATAGGGAAAAATCGATGAATCCAAAAGTTAGTTCTTTGAATAGGTGAACAAAATTGGCAGACCTTCAGTTAGAGTGATCCCATCTCCCAAAGAAGAAATACTCAAATTACTAAAATTAGAAATGAAAAAGAAGACATCATTAGCAATTGTGTGGAAATGAAAAAAAGAATCACATGGAAATACTATGAATAATTGCATGCCAACAAATTGAATAACCTAGAAGTAATAACTGAAGTATTCAGAAGTGATGGGGCATTAGGCCAGAAATTTATTCTTAAGTAATTCAGGGGAAAAAAAGTTATTTTTTACTCACTACTTGTGTATACATGAGATTATTTTTTGTTTGTTTGTTTTTGTTTTAAAGAGAAAAGAAAAAGAATGATACCATGTCAGGCTACTATTCACAGCAAGGGTTATATTGCAAGAAAGAAGGAATTTCAAAGTTCAAGAGTAATGGTCTACTTCTAATTAATGGCAAAATTCATCAATATACAGATTTCAGCACGTACGTGTACGCACACATACAGATGCCTGAATTTGTGATTGCAGATGTAGAGCAGTGTCAGAATCGTCTGAAAGGCTACGATGTAGCTGTCGAAGTGGATGGCTGAAATGAGATATAGAGGTCATTGCAAGTGAGGAAGTCAAGGAACTGAACTGCATGGCATTGGAAGAGTCATCATACATGAGGACTTTGAGATTGTATACAATGATGGCAGGACTTAGGCTGGAGAGAAAGACTCTAAGTTAGGTTCCAAATCTTGTAAGGAATTGACTGAAGAGACAGCTATGAATGTGTGTGAGGGCAGAGGGTTTTAAGTAAGAAAGAAATGAACCTCAAAGAGGTTGGAGGAGTAGTGAAGTGATAGTAGAGATGTGGTACAGACGAAGAAGGACACTGATCCTAACCCTAAATAGTTCTTAAACACCATACTTGGCTGGCCTGATTCTACCAGACTCAAAATTCTATGAAAGACTTCATAGCTAGAAATTGAAGAAAATTATATGAAGCTTGGTCTGCAATTGCTAGGTGTCAGGAAATCAAATATGAAATAGTTTTCCGTAATTTTTTTCTGATCTACTTATGAGGGGATGTAATAGGGGAAAATAACAGAGTGAGCTGACACCAATTTATTCACATTTATTTATGAAATGATTTTACCTAAAATCCTTTTGAATGTTAATTCTAATCCATTTATAATTTTATTTCAACAACTATTTAGACAACTTGAACATATGAAGCAAATTACCTGTTACTTTATTCCTTTAATGTTATAACACCATATATATCATATATACAGGGATGGGCAAAAGTAGGTTAATAATAATAACACAATAATAAATAAGTAATACAGTAATAAACTCTGTGTTTTGTGTACTCACAATTGTAAACCTACTGTTACCGGTCCCTGCATATATTTTATATATTGCACACTTGAGAACATTAAAATAGTTCTATGAAAATATAGTGTAAACATCCTGTTTTTATTCCTTATGGTTGCTAAGCTTGTTTCTCTGTCTCCATGCACCAACCCCACACACTTAATTTTAAAGACTTGGGATACTGTTAGAAAAGGGATATTTTCTAGGGGGTTTCAATTCCACTAGATAGTGATTATTATAGTCTTAAGTGTTTTTCAGAGGAATGCTTCATTTAGATTACTTTCTATACCCCAAGTCATAACAAGATTTTAGATATTTGTACTTATCATTTATTCTTATACTAGTAATGCTTTTGCCTGTGTAGACTCTTATTAAATTGAAATCATTCCAAGATGAGCAAGTATGGTCACTGCACATGTTTTTATTAGGCAGGGAAGGAAATGATCTGAAATTCAAGTTTTTCCATGGATTAAGCAGTGCACAAGAACCAGTAACTTTGGAGGAAATCCAGCTTACTTTTGTTTTAATGCACCCAGAAGATTTCAAATCAATACTTAGTGGTAATGTTTTAATTGAAAATTAACATTGCCATAATTGGGAGTTGGAATCAGTATCCTGATACTTAGGAGAGGGCTATCTGGTTGGGAAGGTCATTAAACTGGGGAGCACAAACATTGGAAGAGGAAAACAAATCACTTGTTTCCTTGAGCAAGGACATACAGTAAACACTTGAATTGGTGGTCAACTATAATTTGCTTCTAGAGCCAGAAAATCTGGCAACACTGCAGTTTGGATTTATAGCAGAGCATACAGGTAGCAGTGACTTTGAAAACAAAGTATAAAGAACCAAGGAAAAAGTTACTAGTTCTTAAAGTTCTGCTCCTCATTGCAAGGACTTCAAGTTTCCCCCCTCAACCTAAAAGCAGGATGTGCTCTTGTTGCTATGCCCAGTGTTCCCTTCAGCTGTTCTTCCTAAATAATTATTCCTCCAGTAAACCAGCGATATTTTACTTTGGGTTATGAACAATTCTTTATTTTTTTGCTTGGGAATTTTAAACCAGTATACTCCCAGTCTGAACAAAGTAGGCAGCGTTTTTCTTTCTATCGCGGTAAAATATAAAATATTGTATTGTTTTCTATGTGCTTCCAATGTCTTAAAAAGTTCAATCACCTTTTCAACTCCCCCAGGATAAACACAAGAAAATACCTCTCCCCAGCAGAATCCTGGGCCCCAGTACCACCTAAGGCACTCCCCCCTCTTCCATACTAGAGAAGGAGCATCCAGTTCAGATGTAGCTCCTCCACGAAGTAGAGGGAATTTAGGGGAAGGGAACTTCTGTAGGAATCATCAGTTCCACAGATAAGCTCCTCTTCTCCTTTTCCCTTTGCATTGCAAGTGAAAAACTGCTCACTGTCCCTTTTCCCTCTGTGTCTCCGGAGTCGAAAGAGGACCCAGTCAGTGAAACTCCCTCTGCTCTGTGCCGAAGACTGCGCCCTTCACCCCACTGTCTGCCCAACGTGCTGATTGGAGCTCAGGGCAGTGGCCTCAGCATCACTCTCCACGCCTGGAGGGGCCAAAGGCCCCTTTTGTGGCCTCGAGGAAGGGCTTTTGTGAAAGCAGAGTTTGAAAAGCCCCAGTACTGTCATGGTCAAGATCACCAACACTACTACTGCTATGCTCACAAGTATGAAGACCACGGTGGAGGAGGAATCCAAAGCCTGGGGGATGTCAGAGGAAGACGTGTAATTAGACTTGGGAATCACACTCTCTGAAGTGATGGCGGCCGTTGAGTTGGTTTGAGGAGACATTTCAAGGGTGGGCGTCGTGCTCTGTGCTCTCCACCCAGGAATCTCGGGAATATATGTTGCTGAATTGCCTTGTCCAGGTACTTGGGGATTATCTCCTGGTTTCTCATGCACCTTGGGTGACCATGTTCTCCTCTGCACCGGGCTGGCTGCAGTGGCTGGCGGGTACGTGGTGGGCACCTTGGTTCCCCCAGGGTCCGGCTGTCCTTCTCCATTGGTTACGCAAGAGCGTCCGTCTTTCCCCAGTGCGAAGCCCGAAGCACACTCGCAGACAAAGCCTTCCAAGTCATCTAGGCAATTAGAGAGCTCTGTGCATTTGCCTGCACGGAGGTACCTCCCGGGGCAGGGACAGAGCACGGCCCCGGAGGGTATCCCATCCCAGCGAGCACTGACCTCGTCCACGATGCAGGTGGTTGTGATGGATTGCTGGCCAGGGCAGTGCGCACTCAGCTGGGTCCCGGGGGGACTGAAGTCCAGCGCCGCGCTGGACAGCTGGAAGGGTGCGCGGTAGCTCAAGTTAGAAGCGGCCCCGGGGAGCGGCGCGGGACACAAGCCCTCGAACTGGTACTTGCACAGGTAGCCGTTGGCGCGCGAGTGGCAGCGCATCTCCTTCCAGCCTGCCGGCTCGACACCCCCGGTGGCCTGGAGTGCCGCGCAACTCCGCACAGTGCAGGAGAGTTGGGGCTCCTGCACCCACTGCAGCGTGTCACTTCCCAACCCGCCAACGTCGGGGGACAACCAAGAGAAACCCCGCAACGGCTCGTCCTTCAGGGTGCAGTGGGATCGCCCGCGCTCCAGCGCCACCCAAAACAGAAGGTCTTTGGAGCCCCCTCCGGGCTCCGGTCCGGCTCTCAGGAGAGCAAGCACCGCACGGAGCTCAGAGCCCCCGCGCACTGTGCTGAGCGCCCCACCGCGCAGGTTGCAGGCCTCCTGGGCCGCCAGCCGCTTGATGGTCGTATGGTGCAGACTGTAGCAGGCCCCAGGGGCGGAACAGCCCGCGCGATCGGCGGTGGGGTGCTCGCCACGGCCGGGCCGGGGCCAGAACGCCTGCCAGAGGAGGCACAGGGCGAACGCCGGCCTCATCTTGGAGGCCCCGCTGCTCCCAACTTGGATCTGTCCGGCCCAAGGGCACCGAGCTGTCCCTAGAGCGCGGTCACCGCCCTCCACAGCTGGTTCTACCCTTACTTCCCCCGCCCCACTCCCGCCCCCAACCTCCAAGAATCCCCACCAGGGTCCTGGCGGCGAACAACTTCCCTTAGGCCGAGACAGGAAATGTGTTCGGAGCTCTGCCAGGCCCGGTGCAGCCTTGATTTATTCTGGGGTCAGGAACACAGCTGGCGCGGGGCACTGGGCCAGAAGGTCAAACACCCTGCTAAGAGCAGGGGTGGGGGTGGGGGGCGGGGAAGAAAATCGCTACTGGGGTGAAGTGTCTCGTTTTCCTCCGTTAGGGATTTTTAGGATTTCAGGTCCCCAAACACTTAGGTGAACACTAACAGGAAGGGCAGAAGAGGAACTTGCTCACAGCCCACGCCCGCCCATTGTGCTTCATCCGGAGCGGTGGAGTCAGCCCCACAACACTTTGTAGACGGCTCCGTCTTTCATCAGGCCTTCGGCTGAGTGGGGCAAAAGTCTTGTGAGAAATATAAGCATCTCTCTTTGTCACCAGAAGCAGCACTATTTAGCCGCCGGTATCTTCCTGGGCTCTTGCTTCTCTGTTCTAGCGAAGGAGATTTAACAGTGCTAACTGCTAGTGCAACAATTAGAGTTCCTCTGGGGTATCTTAAATGGTAAGTCCTGCCTCTTGGGTCGGCACTTGCCTTAAACGTTTGTTTTTCGCTTCCATTTGTTTTACTTTGAAATGGCCTATGTTAGTCCATTCAGGAAAGGACAAATGTAATTCTAGGCCCAAATGAAAGAAGAAAAAAAAAGGCCATCGATTGATCTTAACCTTTGTTAGGTTGTTAGGTTCCTCCTCATTATATTGTTTCATAACTTCTTCAAACTTACAGATTATACATCATTGAATTGGTGGCCTTATTAATGTTTGAGAATAGCTCCCCCATTTGTGATTTTATCCTTGAACTATTTCACATTATTTTCTTCTATGATTAAGTGTCAATATTTGCAGCAGTGAGTTATAAAAGTCCCCTTTAAGGGTCACTAGAGTTCAATAGACTTAAGGAATGAAAATATTTATAACATTATAATGTATATTTTATATTGTAAACAAACAAACAAACAAACAAACAAACAAAACCCTGCAACTTAAGAAATGGTGGATCACCTCCTTCAGAGTTCCAGTGGGTGTTTTGTTTACATATTAACACTTCAACTTAATCGGGAGTGGATAGGAATTAATGATAAGTGAAGAAAGGAACGGTTAAACACTGCACTGTGTCTAGGAAAAGAATTTTCTGGTTAGCAATTTGGGCAGTTCTACACCATTTTGAGAAAAATATGTCTATATTGACTCACAGTGATCAAATATAATCAGAAATACAGAGTTTCAACTAAGCCCTCTTAAATATGCATGGTGCTTTTATATATATATATATTCAGAATAAAAATTGCTATTCTATGAATAATGCATACCACACTTTTGAACTCACTTTGTTGTACTGGTTGCTACTATTCAGGTTACTGAGGAGGGGTAGGAAGGAAGGTTTAAGGATCACATTTGTATGTTCCCACCTCATTCTTACCACAGCTCTCTCTCATTTCTCTTCTTAGGATGCCCATGTATCTTTTATTTCCATGTATCTTTTTTTTTTTTATCCTCATCTGAGGTACCTGAGGGCATTTTCCCATTTTTTGTTTGGATACAGTGGGAGGGAGAGGGAGAGAGGGAGAAAGAAACATCGATGTGAAAGGGACTGCTACCTAGGTAGGTGCCCTTAGCAGGAACGGAACCCGGGTCTCTCTCCACCGCAGGTCTACGCTCTACCTGCTGAGCCAAACTGGCCAGGGCGGTCCGTGTATTTTAACAAAGGATAGTAAATATCATGAATCATCATCACACTTACCTTGCTTTTGCTGACTGGGAGTTTTGCAGCAGAATTTCTCTCCTATCTTCACTGTTTTCCAATTTAAAAGACATTTATTAGTCCTTCATTTTAGATGTCCAGGAATAACCTTAAACATGACTTTGAATTTAAATTAAGTAACTAATGTCTTATGAGAAAGGAACACGAAAATCCAGAAATCTAATTGAATAAATTTTAAAAATACTTAATCCTTGGGCCAGTTCTGTATGCCTCTACAATCTAATGACTGTGTGTTTGTAAATGTGCCCATATATAGCACTGTATATTTTAATAAAATAAAACCTTTTATAATCCTAAGTAGTCAATAGAAATCTTTTAGATATTTTAAAAATCACTTGGGATGAGAGGGGGTTTCTAGAGTTAGGAAGAATGAATGACTGGAGAGCTTGTAGTAAATACATGATCTCATGCCCCTGTATTCTGCCTCGGGAGCTGGGACTTAGAAGACAACATAATGATTACATATTACAGTCCTAACCATGCCTACAACGATATGAGAGAAGAGTTAGAAAAATAATTAGCTCAAAGTAAGACATCATTTTGTGATTAATTACTTTATACTGATCTACATACCACTAAAATGAAATCAAAAGAACAATGAACATAAAATTCTGGGTGATTGATCCCTTTGGGTGGGTGGGAGGAAGGGGGTGGATTGGTGGGAGAACCAGGGGTGGAAGTGGGTTGTTGTTAGAGTTCTAGCTTTTGTTTTGGGTAGTGTATTTATGGATGATTATTTCACCCATATGAAAAAATAAATAATTAAGTAATAAATAAAAGTGGCTATATCTAGATAAATGAGAGAATGGCATGAACCAAAATTATAATTAATCTAATTCTGAGCAGCTGAGTTCCACCCTATAAAGTAAAAATAAAATCAAGATGTTCGTTACATTTTCAAAAAAATATTGTGGCTATATTTTTCTTTACGCTCCACATTCTTTTGCAGGTAAAGTATTTCTGAATTTAAGCCAATTATTAATCTGAAAATAACACAATAAATAAAATATTTTCCCTACGTTTCTAGACTTTTCACACCATCTGTGTATTATTGGTAAAAATCATGTATGGTATTTATTTGTTCAGTCATTAACCAAGGCCATCCAAGGAATGTATAAAGAAGTATATGAGAGAATATATAAAGAATACGTGTTGTCCAACATTTTAAATTTGATTATTAATTTAAAGTATTGAAAACATAGATGGAAAAAGATAAAATTTTAGTCATACCTCATGTAATCTCATAAGTTTTTAAATTGTTGATCCTCCCCGAATAACTTCTATCATTACTGAAAGAAAACAACACCCGGATCTTCATGTATTTCTGAGTTTGCCTAAGATATATAAAAAGACTTTAGAAGAAATTGAAAGGGAGACGGCATCCCAATAGGAGAGAATGGTGCTCAGAAGCTAATCTATAGAGACTAAGTCTTGTGAAGATTCATAGCTTTTTAGAACTGTATTGGATCTTAACAAAATGACCAGTGATCAATATTTTCATATTTTTAACTGAGAAATTTTAAACTCTATTTCTCAAGTGCCCATGAAGTGCTTAATGAAATGATAAAATCTGGTAATTTTATTTGCTGCAAACATAACTTCTAATAGTCATTATATACATGTCCCGATGAGGATGTATGGTTTCACTCATTAGGACCCAACAGATTACATAGGTTCATAACCGAACAAATCCACACACATCTGAACAGATAAAGACTTCTTCTAGAGGGCATTGGATTTAAGATATACTCATACATACATACACAGTCAGTCATTTTGGAATGTGTGTCATAATAGGCATTTTTCTGACTTAGTGAACAACATGACTAACAGAAATAAGAAACATTGAAAAACATTAAACTTTCAGTTTGTTTATTCTAACTACTCTCTAAACAGGGGCAGTGCTGACCATATTCCATGTACACTGAACACAATATAAAAAAATTATTCTTTGGTGGCCATTACAGAATTAGTACATTTTTTCAGTGCCAAGTTTATAATCAAGAAACAACAGCAGAATGACTCATGCGCATAAAAGGCTTGTTATAATCCAAATGCCTAACAATTTCTAAAGTATAAATGTTTATCCTACTATTTAGATATTTTTTCAAAATTGCCTACAGAGCTGGTTTATGAGCCACATAAAGAAAATCAGTCTCATTACTTAAAGTCACAGTTACACACACACCCACACACGCACACACACCCTCACCAAGTCTTCTTTTTTGACACATGACAATGAAAGTTAAACTTGTAGGGTTAGTTAACATCATCTAGCAAACAAACTACAGCTGTATGGAAGTGGGGATGGGTGGACGGCTTGCAGACCTTCTCCTTTGTTAAAATCTGGCATCTATCTCATCTATGGTATCAGGTACACTGATCTTGGAGTTCTTCAGGGTCTCATCCTGGGTCCTCTTATCTTTTCACTGAATAGTCTCTTCCTCATGATCTCACCTTATACTGTACTATGGTTTTGGAAATCCTCTCTATGCCAATGATGTCCAAGCTTATATCCATACTTCATTGTTCTTGACTGAGCTCTAAATCCATATATCCACCAACTACTTAATATTTCCACTTTGATATCTCATAGGTTTTTCAAATTCTCATTTTCTGAGCCAGTTTGTCATCTTGCCTTTGTCATTTTAATAAATGGCACATCTATCCCCCAAGATGCACCTCCAGCTCCCTCACCTGTTATACCGGTCAGGTCTTTTCAATTGTAATTAACAGAAATCCAACTCAAGCTAGCTAAATGCAAAAGAGAATTATATGGCTTTGGCCAGTGGCTCAGTCAGTTGGAGTGTCATCCTATACACCAGAAGGTTGCAGGTTTGATTCCCAGTCAGGGTACACACCTAGGTTTCAGTTTTGATCCCCAATCAGGGCATGTACAGGAGGCAACATATTGATGTTTCTCTTTCATATCTCTCTCTCTCTCTCTCTCTCTCTCTCTCTCTCTCTCATCAATGGAAACATATCTTCAGATATCTTCAGGTGAGAATTTAAAAAGTGTGTGGGGGGGTGGATTATATG